AGGTAAACTGAGGTGTTGGGCTGGGCGGGTGTCCACGCAGGAGTCGAGGTAAACTGAGGTGTTGGGCTGGGCGGGTGTTCACGCAGGAGTCAAGGAATGGCGGTAGAAGGTGAGATGCAGTCAGCAAGCAGCGGAAGTACGTTTCCTCCCGTGGAGGGGTGTCCAGGGAGCTGGTGGTGGTGGTGCAAACGTGTTCCCAGTCTCAGGTGTTTCTGTGGGAAGTGTATGGATTTATAGGACTGGGACACACTTTTCAGCATCTGTTCTCTGCCCTTCAGCTTCACTGCTGTGGTTGGATTAGCTGTCCTGACAGGCAGCACAGTCTTGTTTGGTGTTGCCTGCCTTGAGCCCCTGTTGCCATGTTTCTTGGAGATGTGAAAGTAGTCCAGGTAGAAAGCTGTCAGTATTCAGAACAGAGTTAACAGCAGAATTCTTTGTGCTAGTAAAAACACTAAACAAACCCATAATTGCCTGAAAGCTGGAAGCTTCAAGCTGATCCCACCTGGCCAGAGGAGGAGAGTCGGGTGTCGGGTTGCAGAAGCCGGCAGGCTTCCCTGAGCCAGGGTCCCCATTTGCCACACTTTTCTCACTGCTGGCATAAAGTGGGGTAGAAGACTCCCTGTATCCAGGGGAGGTGTGAGCCTCACCTGGCGGAGGTGGCAAACCTCAAAGCCTTGGGAGCCTGTAAGGTGCTGAGGTGGCCGGAGCCACCTCCTGAGAACAAAGAGCAGCTAGTGAGAAATGCTCCTGCCTCCTTGCCGTGGCCCCTGCTCGGCCAGCTGGTGAGGATGGACGTGTGAAATTCCACAGTCAGTAGCTACCCTGCCTGTGACTGTCCTCAGATCCTCACTCCCCGGGTGCTAGGAGGTGAGCTGTTGTAAAACCCTTCTGATGGCCGAGGCATCTGGAGCACATTTGGCACCCGCCCAGTTTAAACAAATGCCTCTTGTTTGCCCACCTTGCACCTCTTCTGGTGGAGGCGTGAGGTGTGAGGGCCAGGGGGCCACAGCTTGATGCAGGGGTGACGGGCAAGGGGGGACTTTAAAGGTGCACGCTTGAACACGCCAGAGAAAACTAGAGCCGGGAAAGCTTTGTAGGGAAGATTTTATTTTCAAAGTGTGGAGAACCATCGCCCTGTTTGTGTGTGTGTGTGGTGTTCTCTTCCACGTTCCCACCTCCCAGGAAGGCACACAGTGGTTGGACGCACTGTGGTGGAGATGCCCTGGGCTCACGGAGGGAAGCCACGCGCGTGCAAAATGCCAGCCCAAGGCGTCGGCGCGAGTCCCTGTGTCTCTGGTGGTGCCTGGGGTCCAGATGTAGCGCAGGAGCTTGGGGCTGTGGAGGGAGCAGTTCTGACCTGGGGGACGTGCCCCGAGTCAGGTGCTTCTGCATCGATGGAAGAATTCGAGGACAAAATCTTAACAAGAGGTGGCCGCACTAAAAAGAGTAAAGCTCTGCCCCAGGACAGCTCAGCGTGTTGCTCTCAGAATACCTAGGAATGCACAGTGTTTGAATAGTTAGAGAGTTAACGCTTGGCTTTTGTTTTCTCGTCTGGCCCAGGAAGGAGACAGTGTGAGCATGACCAGTGGAGAAGGTACTCGTCGTCTTCCGGGTAAGTGCTTCCCTTACGCCTTCAGCTTTTCCAGAGACAGAGACGTTTCATGTCACATGCCGGACCCACTGAGGAGACTGGTTTGCTCCCGCCAGGAGAGGCATGAGTCAGCCTTCGTCAGGGGTGGGGACCCGGCGATGTCTGACACTTCACAGATACAGGCTGCTTAGTGGTGTTCGTGCAGCAGCCCAACCTTGTCTGGATTTGTTTTGCTAAATGAACCGTGTTAGAATGTTCCTCAGTCTGAGGAGACTCCACGTATCTTCAGGCTCTTTTTAGGATGAATTTTGAGTTACTTAGTTAGGCTACAGCTTTGTCATATGTTAAGATTTAATGAAATGATTTGAAAGAACGAACTGACATGGATGAGGTAAATAGGCTCACTTAATTGCCCAGATCCCACTGCCTATAAAGAGAGTATTGCCGGCAACCATAGCAGAGGAGGGCCAGGGAGAGCAGGTGAGCCCCACCGAGTCACAGAGGAGAGGACCTAGAGACAGCGGGAAGGTGCAGGCGTGCTTCCTCCCGAGAACTTCACAGTTGTCATGGGAGTCTTTCATGCCCCAGGTGCCCGGGGATTAGGCAGAGGAGACAGTGACCTCTGCAGTCTCCTTAGATTTACAGGAGGACTTCAGAATTGAGATTTTAAGTTTTATTATAGTATTATAAGGGAAGTAAACATGGCTTAAATGTTCAAGATAGAGCACATGTAGCTGGGAGGTATAGCTAGAACTTACACGGCTGCAACTCTTTGTAGCCTGTTATCCTTTCTTCGTATTATAAGTAACTTCAGTGAACCCAAAACAGCTGGTCAGTTACGGTGGCGAGGAGCTGAGAGTAACACCAGGGTTCTGATTTCTGTAAAGAAACTGGCTTTTCAGGCTTCCTGGCCTGTAAGCCACAGTGAGAAGACATTTTATATCTCAGTCTAGCACACCTGTGTGTAGAGTGTGTGTGTTCACGTAGGAGCATCTGTGCGTGCGTGAGCGCGGGTGCGTGCGTGAGTGCATGTGTGAGCACGTGTGAACGTATGTGTATACATGAGCGCGAGTGCATGCGTGCGAACGCGTGAACGTGTGTGCGTCAGCGCATGTGTGCCTGAGCGCAGGTATGTGAATGGGTGTGTGTGTGCGTGATCGCATGCATGAGTGCATGTGTGTGCCTGAGCATGTGTGTGCGTGAGCATGTCTGAAGCAGACTTCGTGGAACCGTCCGCATTCTCACCGTGAGCAGCACGCTCTAGTATTTTCTGTGCTGTTAGAGTACGTGCTACTGACTTCCACTGGGCGGATCTCCTGACCTGCTTTGGGGGTCACAGAGGGAAGAGTACCACAGTAGACGGTAATTCTTTAAACGGGCCCCAGAGGCCAGCCCACACTCAGGTGAAGGTGAGAGCGACACTGCCTCTCCGGGTGGGACGGGGCAAGGCCCCAGAAGGACTAGAAGGGTGGCTGTGGCCCTTTTGGGGAACTGCAGTCTCCCACGCAGGCCACCTCCTCTCCACACAGTCACCTGACTGCCACTGCTGCCCCCCGTGGTCCTGGTTCTCCCAGGTTTCCTGCCTGCCCACTGCCATGCTTCCCAGCACGCTGTCAGAGTTCTCGGTGACTTCCCACATCCTGAGCCACTTCCCTGACTTCCCCCCTCCCGGCGTCCTCCACCCTTGCTTCCTCGTGTATCGGGCACTGTTCCCAGCTGCAGTGTCCTGTCTTCCTGGTCCTTGCCTCTGGAACTCGGCCTGGATGCTCTCCGGGAGGCAGGAAGCCTGTGGTTGGATGGGCCTCTGTGTGGTTCCCTCGTGACGTGTCCTCGGGGACGCCCAGTGTCAGGGTCTTCAGCCCGTTCCCCTGGGCTGGCGCGTCCCCTGGAGAAGACTCCTGCCATCTCTCCCTGGAGACACGGGTGATTGTGTCAGACCCTGACGGAGCCCCCAGGACCGTGTGAACTGGGGCACAGGAAGTAGCCCGGATGGCCCAGGTCTTTGGCTTGAGTCTGGTTCAGCACCATGGCTTGGGCAGGAATGCCAGACGAGGCGCCGGGGTAGGAGACACAGCGGCTGTGGGTGTCTCTGTCCCCCCTGCCCGGGCAGCTACTTGCCCCCAGCCCCCTCCTCCCCATGAGGACAGCGCTCTCCAGGGCGAATCGGGAGGGTCTGTGCCTGCACCAGGTGCTCAGCGCATTCCCGGAATGAGCACCACAGCAGTGCTGTAGCTGTGGCCCTGTCGTGGGAGGTGTTGGCTGTTGGGGCTGGACAGGCTGTGGCAGCGATGGGTTTCACTCAGTGACACAGAGACTGGGGGCCAGGCTGGCAAACCGGTGCCCTGCTCTTGGGAAAGGGCAGGCCTGATGCAGGACAGCGGGGAGGGGCTGCAGGCCCACAGTCACTGGGACCCAGAACCTGCCAGGGACCGGCGCAGTGCCTCATGCACCAGGGACGAGTAGGCATGTGATCACCTGTGGTGACGTTCTCAGGAGGTCGGGATAGAGGCCTGAAACGTACCCCTAGGTTCTAGTGGACAGGAGGTTGGCAGTGACAGCGCCCCCACTGGAAGGAGGTGCCAGGACACACACTGGAATTGGTCACAATAAACTCAGTAGAAAACATGGTAAAGTTCCTCCAATAAGTCTTAAAATACTCCTTATAAATTAACTATAAATGCACCCCAGCCCCCCATACCCTGGCCCCCACACCGCACCCCTCTGTACCCCTGCCTTCCCTCATGCCCCAACCCCCCCACACCTCCATACCCCAGCCCCTCCCACATCCGAACCCCACCACCACCTAACACATACCCTCCCCGCACCCTCTGTCCAGCCCCCCCTTAAAAACTTCCACACCCCAGCCCCACTACCACCTGGCCCTCCATGCCCCAGCCCCCAACACCTCCACACCCCCAACCCCCCCGCACCCTGGCTCCCCCTCACACCCTGCCCCCCAACCTCCGCACCCCAGCACAAAACCTCCCCGTCAGCGGGGAAGGGAGAGGCTGACTCTGGTCCCCTGTCCACAGTCGGAAAGACACGGTGCTGGTCCCTGCTTGGGTGCCTCATAAGCCTGTTGTGTTCCAGGTGGTCCAGGTGACCCGCGGTGGCCAGGACGAGCTGAGCCCTTGTGGAGGAGTGCACCACCTTCTGAACGTGGAGTTGATGTGGCGTCAGACGTCGTGAGCACATGCTGTGTCACGTGCCCACACCCGGCAAAGACGGGACATCTGCAGGAAGAGAGTCTCCTGAGACACGTCTTGTGGGGCGGCGGACAGAGGGGCGGCTGCAGACGGCATGAGCGGCTGCAACACCTTTCCGGCCCTGTAAACGCAGAGGCTGCCACTGTTGTTACCACACAGAACATGCCAAGACCTCGTCCTCTCAGCCAGGGTGTGTGTCGTTGGACAGTTGCACATGCACAGACGTGTGTGCAGAGACAGGGAACACGTGCTAAGGAAGAAAGCAGCAGTCTTTGTGTGGTCCTCCCCTGGCCTGGCGACCCTGACCACTGCCCTTGAGCATGTCACGCGTGTGTGAGCAGTACATCACGTGGGCAGTACATCACGCTCGTCAGCGGTGCGTCACGCGTGGGCGGCACGTCACGTGAGCAGTGCATCACGCATGGGCCGTGCATCACACATGTATGAACAGTACGTCGTGCGTGTGGGTGAACACTGTTCACACAGGGCCTCTGGTGAGCGTGGTCCTCCCTGAGGTTTGTGGGCTTGCGTGCGTGTCCTCCATGTTCCCAGGGTACTCCTCCCGTTTTGGATTCCTTTTTAACCATATGAGTCTCCTCAAAGGCGTCACTTTGTCGTTATTCAGTTTCCCATGGGTGAGTGGGTGTGAGTGGTGTGGTTTCACTGCCTGCCCTCTGCGGTCAGTCTGCTGCACTGATGAGGCACGTGCTTAGTCTTCACTCTTGTTAACGGTGGTTCCTTCGGACCTCAGAGCACTGTGGTGGGCAGCCCGTGACCCGGTGTTAGGGTTGGGTCACTCTGACGTTGCCTAATGTGTGCACACCTGAGTTGGGTTCCTTGTGCTGACAGCTCCTTTGTAATACGACTCTCCATCCAAGATGACCTTTAAACTGAATGATAACAAAAGTTCTGGGCCTCCGGGACCTAGGAGCGCATTTCCCCCAGGGGAGAGCCGGGGCACACATTCCCCCCAGGGGAGAGCCGGGGCGCACATCCTCCCGCCCTGGGGAGAGCCGGGGCGCACGTTCCCCTCCAGGGGAGAGCCGGGGTGCACATTCCCCCCGCCAGGGGAGAGCCTGGGCGCACGTTCCCGCCAGGGGAGAGCCAGGGTACACATTCCCCCCTCAGGAGAGAGTGGGGGCACACATTCCCCCCTGGAGAAGAGCTGGGGTGCACCCCCCGAGGGAGAGCCTGGGCCCTGGTTACCCCCGTTCACACTGGAGTGAGGACTGAGGCCGTGCGTTGTGTGCCCACAGCTGCAGGAGTCCACGTCTAACGGTCTGGGGATGCTGCTCTGTCCTCCCGACCGTCCCATGAGGCCACAGACAGCACCTCTCAGAAGGATGTCCAGCCTCGGACTTTCTGGGGAGTGGAGGTGGGTGAGAGGCCAGCGGGGGAGTGCGCAGCCCTTGGCTGTGGGCACAAGGGCCTGGCCGCCTTACTGGGCAGGGACCCAGACCCGGAGCTGGGACTGTGACACGGTGCCCTAGAGCAGGAGAGCATCCAACCCCAGCGACTTCCCTGCTTTCCCCACGGGGACACCCAGCTGCGGGACTTACACTCTTCCTGTGTCCCCCGCCTCACAGCGTCTGCAGCTTTGAGACCATCCCGGGCACTGTTGGGTCAGTCGACGCATGTTTGCAGTTTCTGTATTTCAGGCCGTTTTGTCTGAGCCCAGGCCAGGATGTCTGAATATAAATTGCAAGTAGTTGAAATTTTTTTTTAAACAAGTTTATCCCAGACCCTGGTTTCTGGAAATAAGTGGGTGTCTGGGGTAACTGAGACCACATGTGATCACGTCTGCATGTGGTGGTCAAGCAGGAGACAAGCCTGTCTGCAGCACAGCATCACGCATGCAGCCATGCTGTCCCACTAATCGGGCATCTGGCAGAAATCAGTCGTTTTCCAGATATTTCATACATAATCAGTTTTATACCCATAAAAAGAATGTAAAATATTTTTCTTTAAAATATTTAAGAAACCACTTTGATGCCTTGAACAAAAAATGGAGATGCGTGGGAACAGGAAGGTCTACACCCTTGAGGGGGTGGGGGGTTCTGCCCTCAAGTGGGACAGGGTGGGGTCTGTGCCATCAAGGGGGTGTGGGGGGGTCTGCTCCCTTGAGGGGGGCTCTACACCCCGGAGAGAATGGTAGGGTCTGCACCCTGAGGGATGTCTGCACGCTGAGGAGGGGTCTGCAAGGTGTGGGACACTCTCCCTACGCACACATTCACCAAGGACTCACAGACGCCCTGCTCCCCTACCCCAGGCTCTTTCAAAGTCCTGGCGTCCCAGGCAAGACCACTTGCTAGAGGCTGGGAGGGATGAAGGGCAGCTGCTGGGGGCAGACTCCAGGGAGGAAGGGACGGCTGAGGGGTAGAGCTCGAGATGGTAATATGGCGGTTAGTTGTGACTCGGCCATCCTCCACCCAGTGGCCCCCCCCCCATCACCACTGGATTATAGTAGAGGCCAAATCATGACTGTCCCGACCACACCCAGCACAAAAATCGTCTTCCCACTTAAGAAGGCAGGAACACCAATGGTGCATTGTTTTTACTTTTAAAAAATCAGCTTTATTGTGTTAAAATTTATATCCAGTAAAGTGACGAGTTTTAACAAATGTAGATGCCTGTGTAACCTCAGCAATCAACACAAAAGCACTTCTGTGTTTCCAGAATGTCCCCCGGGCCCTCCAGTCCTGCCCAGGCCGGCCCACTACACCCTGAGGTCTGCTCTTGGTCCCCTGTGGGTGGGGGTCAGTGGCTTTGCTGATCTCCTCGGAGAACCCGCCTTGCCTCTGCTGGTTTTTCTGCTGCCTGCTCTCTGCCCCCTGGCTCCTGCCTGCCTGTGTTCCTTCTTTCCCTACACTTCAGATTTGTCTCGCTCTCTAACATAGGCCCTTAAAGCTGTGCCTTTCCCACGAAGCAACTAGCACGTGTTTAAATCGGGAACCGTGAAGTTTCGTGAAGTGTTGCTGCCTCAGGTCCCTCTGACGTTTACTCGGCACAGGCGCGGTTCCTCGGAGCAGTCTGGCTCTTGTCCAGTGCCTGGGTGTCCGGGCAGTCCCGTGCAGGGGTGTGAGCATGACGGGTCACTGTCCCTGAGCCCCACTGGAGAGCCAAGATGGAAGGGGCACTGGGCCCTGGGCACTCTTTGTCTGAGAGCACCTCTCAGGCCAGCACCGGGAGCTGCAAGGACTGATGGGGCTGGGATACTTAATTTTAAAGAAATCATTTGCCCCTTGGTCATCCAGGCCACGCCTGACTCAGGGTTTTAGCCTGACTTGCTCTAGGAAAGTTGTTGAATCACTTGCAGATGACCAAACCGGGGCCTTTTGCACAGCTCCCTGCAGCGCTGGGAAGGGGCCGGGAGGATTCTAGCTCCAGCAGAGGCCTGCCCAGCACTTGGGGAGCAGTGGGCCTGCAGGGTGAGCTGCTGGCACTACTGAGCTGGGCAGGCCCACACCTGGGCTGGGAACTCGGAGGAAGGCGCCTCTGAGAGCGGACCAGCTGACTAGCTCCTCTCTGCTCGAGTGGCAGTGGCAGTGGCTGTGTGGGATGTGTGGGGCCGTGCCCAGCGCAGTCCCTGAATACGGCCTCGCCCGCTGCGCCCTCACCCCGGCCCGGGTGACCCGCCTGCAGGCCCTCCTGCGCCATGGGTTGCACTGGCCTCGGAAAGTGGGCGCGTCCCTAGAACCCTGGGGCTAGGATGTCGTCGCCCTGGCCCTCTCTCCTGCCACAGGAGGCTCCTCACGAGCGGAGCCCTCACGCTGGGCAGAGTGGAGGAGGAGTTCAAGACCCTCTCAAGGGGCTCTGAGTAAACATCTCGGGTGAAACGGCAGTGTCCTGACGGCGGCCTGGTGAGTGTCCCACCCCCACCCCGCCCACGAGGCCCCTCGCCTCCTCCCACGTGTTTATCGGGGAGACTGATTTCCCCTGGGTCCGCGAGGCGACGTCTGAAACGGGAACATCTCGTGTAGACTCAGCAGTGCGCTCCCTGCGCAGGGAGGCCGCCCGCGCTGGAGCCGAGTCCGCGCGGCCGCTAATCTCAGGGGCGACGATGCGCCCCAATGAGAAGGAAATGTCGGCGCGTTGTGAGCCAGCGCCCTGCCCACCCTCCATCTGTGCTCGCGTCAGCGCGCGGGGACATATGCTGCCTGTTGCTCACTCGCCATCTGTTCTGCCAGCCCAGAGTCCCTGTCGCCGTGGCAACCGGCCTGCGGGTGCGCACCGTGCGCTCGGCTTCCGCTCCCTGCTCTGGAATGGGCACCCGCTCCCGCCCTCCCCCATCGCCGATGCCCCCTCCAGCGCGCCCCCTCCCCTTCCCCCGCGTCCCTCCCCTTCCCCCCACGTCTCCTGTGCCCCTCTTCACCCCCGGGGCCCCCCCGCGCGCCCTCCTCCCGGCCCAGCACCCGCACCCCAGCTCACCCGACCCAGCTCCAGGCTCCTCAGCTGGGCGTCGAGCCGATGACTGAGAGCAGCATACAGCCTCTCAGTCCATCGGTCCGTCTGCCCAGCGCGGCCTCGAGGACGAGCCTTCCACCGCCACCGGCCGGCTGGCCCCCGAGATCTGAGGCCGGGCAGGCGCCCGCAGATCACCAGCTGGCCGGGCGGCTCCGGGCATGGAACATCTGTGCCCCCGTGCTGTTCTGCAGAGCTGGTCGGCTGGGAACAAACAGGCCATTATTAAGGAGCAGCGGCTGCCCGGCGGCCTGGGAACGGGCGCCGCGGCCCCGCACCAGGAGGCCCCCGGGCGGCAGAGGGGCAGGCGGATTCCTGGGTCGCCAAGGCAGCTCTGGGTTTCGATTCGGCTCGCCGAAGGAGCTCCTCCCAGCGCCCAGAGCCCCAAACTGCCGCCTCTTGGCGGGCGACCTTGGCACATTGTGGAGCTGTGGGGTAGGGCCCTGCAGCCCCGTGTCGAGGGTCTCGGCACAGGACTGGGAGGGGAGGCCTCAGTCTATCCCTCCCGAGGACCTGGAAGTCGAAGATCACAAGGTCTGGGTCCTGTGTCTCCAGCTAGTTCTCAGTCCTCACCTTCCTGTACCACCACATGTCGTGCAGGGACGGCGCACGTGTTCTATGCCTGGGCCCCGAATGCTAGCCTCGTGGCGCTGCCTCCACACTCTCCGAACACTCACAGCCCGGCCACTTCATGGGCAGAGTGAGGGTCCACGAGAGGCCTCCATCTTCCTGACACGAGGGGGCTGATCCTGTTTTATCCCTGCCCACCATGGAGAAATCCTCTTGGCTGTCCCAAATGTGCCAAGTGGGCTGCGCCAGGGGCGCCCACTGCAGCCTCTGCCGGCTGGTCCCGCAGGGGTCCTCCTTGTGACCCCCCTCCCGCAGGCAGGTCAGTGCGTGCAGAAAGCTCAGGCGATATTCCTCCACGCCACAAGCCCACTGGAACGGTTTCGTGCAGGACAGTTGATCAGGGACATGAAACCAGGCACGTGATCCTGGAGACACAGCCACAGTCAAGCCGGATGTGGGAGCCGGGACACGTGAGCCAGAAACTCCATCCTGGACGCGGGAGCTGGACAGGAAGCCAAACATGCAAGCTGGGGCGCCTGAGCTAGCCTTCAGCACAAAGCCTGTCGTAGCTACTGAGCATGTCCACCTGCTGGAAGCCATTCCAGGCATGTGGCACCCAGGATAGAGAAGATGCCCCCAACCCTGGGCTACACCCCTTGTCTGGTGTGGGTGCTGCTGCCCACCTTCAGCATTTTACTGAATCTGCTTTTAAAGTTAGTTTGTGGTGCTGTGACATTAGAGTGATCTCCTTGGCACTGAGGCCCAGGAGTCTTTGCTGAGCCCCAGGCCCCCACCTTCCACCCACATGGCTTCTCAGAGCTGCCTGTCTGGCCTGGTGCCCCCACTGGAGAGCCTTTCGGCTCCTTTTCCACCCTTCCCCCAGACTTGCTTAGGTCCCCCCCACACCCCATGGTGTCCCCCTTTCTTGGGGCCTCCCCCCAGCCCCCTCTATGCCCTCCAGACCCCCCACAGCCCTTTCCCAGCGCCCCGCTGCATTGCTAAGCCCCACGCCCACAGCAGATTCTCCAGCCTCCCCCCCCACCGCCCCATGCACAGACGTAGAAGGAGCATTTCTAAGGGCTTTGACGAAGAACACACAGCACTGACACCATTTCTAGAATGTGTTTTCCAACTGTTTTGGAGGTGCTGGCTTATTGAATTAGACAAAAGAAACTGAAAGTACAAAAATGGGAAAGAAGGAAAAATGATGATTACTTGTAAATTATTTCATTGTATATCTGGAAAACCCCAGAGAAGAAAAAAAACTGTACAAAATATAAGAGAACTTGTCAAGGTGTAAAATTAGGTATAAAATTAGAATATAGAAAACAACAGCTTTCCTATATAGGAATACAAACCATTAGGAAATATGATAGAAGACAAGACCTCATCATAGCATCAAAATAGATGAAATATCTAGCAATACAGATAGGAAGAATTATGAAAGAGCTATGTGAAGAGAACTTTACAGTGCCTCCAAGGAACACACACACCCACTCGTGTGCATATGTACATGTGTGCACACTTGTACACATTTGTGCATGCACACACAAATGTGCACTCTTACATCCCTACATGTGCACACATGTATGTACACATGTGCACACATACACTCAAGCCACACATGCCCACACATGAACACATGGACATTCACGACACACACATGTGCACACACACATACAGGCTTGAGTGGATAGACAAGCCTGCCATGTCCCTGGATCAGGCTGTGTCCTAAAGATCCAATGTTTGCAAATTTCTTCTGTACATTTAGTGCAATCCCAATTGAAATGTGCCTTAGTTATCTAGTGCTGCTATAACAGAAATACCACAGTTGGATGGCATTAACAAACAGAAGTTTATTCTCTCACAGTCTAGTAGGCTAGAAGTCCAAATTCAGGGTGCCAGCTCCTGGGGAAGGCTTTCTCTCTCTTTCAGTTCTGGGGGAAGGTCCTTGTCATCAGTCTTCTCCTGGACTAGGAGC